CACACTTGAGACAAGAGTATTGTTTTTCACGCCTCCGCTCCACCGATCCTCCCCCTTCAGGTCCCCCTTCCACTGGGCACAGACAATTCCAGCAAAGCAGTAGGCTCAGAAAGTGCAGAGAGGCAGGTGGACTGAGGCTGACAGAGAGGGTGTCTTGGCAGTGACTGCTCTGATCACGGTGCTGGGCAGCCCTCACTCAGGCTGGCAGCAGGACAAAAGAAGGGAGAGGAGGGGGTGAGGAGGCAGCACAAGAAGTATGGGAGGAAACCAAGGGCACAAGCCCCACTGTTCACATGAGGCTGGCTTAGGGGGCAGGAGAGTGAAGAGCAAATCCAGAGACAGGAACAGGAAGGGGGAAGCTCAGGGGTTTGGGGATCTGGCTGAAAATTTTCGATAAAGAAGGATCTTCTGGTTTAGCTTATGCCTTTCGTCCTGTCAGGGCTCACCTCCCTCACCCGTCACCTCTCTCCAGCACGTAGGAACAAGCTGGCACAGTCTCAGAAACAGACAGGAAAACCGTGGGGCCTACCTGCCATGTGGCAGGAGCCTGTGGATAAAGAAATTGTCAGGAGGGGCAAGAGGCCTCCTGTCTTACGCCGCGCCTTAGCCAGCTCCATTTCTAACCCACCCTGAGCCTGCTGCCAGCCTCATTTCCATTTCTCATTTATCCATTGCCCCCAGCCAGGACTGTCTGCCACAGGCCAGCCTTCAACCACACCCTGAAGATACAAGTGCGCCTCCACTCAAGGGACTTTCTGCCCAGCGTGGGCCATAAACCAAGACCCTTGGGGCTCCCCCATGCGTGGCTTTCTGGCTTCGAGGCCCTTAAGATCAGGCCCAGCCCCATCTCCTGCCTCATCAAGGCCTGCCCTTCACTCCTCTCCAGAGGCCTCCTCACTCCCTGCAGACAGGCTTGGCCCCTCTTGCTTGCCTGTGATCTTCCCAAGTCCTTCCACCTCTTTGTAACCACTAAGACAGAGCACAGAAGCCAGAGGTTCAGGAACGGGCAGATCAGGACTGGTGTCCGGGTTCAGCCACTTGGTCTCTGCTGCCCAGGGCCCAGCGGTGGTGGGCCTTGGTGGTGGGCCCTGCCTAGCGCCTCCTCTCTGCTCACAGGGCTTACAAGCCTCCAGCACACTTCACACTTGTCTGGTCTATTGTTTGTACTCCTTTTTGAACTTTGTTTTCCTAGCAAGACCATGAAGTTCCTTAGAACACCTACATTATTTGCTGTTCCAATTCCACATCCATCTACAGTGGAAAATGGGGAAAATGTATTACACTCCAAAAAGGAACGCGAAGCCACCTGGATTCTCCCTGAGACAACTAATGAAAACATTCTGCCTTACTTCTTGCACCTCCTATGCATAGATGTTTTCCTTTCCAAAAATTAAGATCATATTGCATGATGTGTGTCTCCATTTCTTCACTCAACACCACGAGGTGAACAGTTCCCCACACCCAAAATTCTTTTTTCTAATTTTTAAATTTTTTATTTTTATAGAGACAGGCTCTGACTATGTTGCCCAGGCTGGCCTCAAACACCTGGGCTCAAGCAATCCTCCCACCTCAGCCTCCCAAAGTGCTGAGATTATAGGTGTGGGCCACTGCACCAGGCTGGCCCTCTGAAATTCTTTAGAAACATGTTTTTGATGCCTGCATAACATCCCAGCATCAGGACCACCATCACTTATTCCCTCAACATTGCTGTGAAGGGCGGTCAGGCTGAAACTTCAGATACTGAGACCTGTCCCAACACGCCTGTAGCTACACATTTGCCAACCACCAATTACCTTCCTTCCGTGGTGATTAAATGCATTTCCTCCCTGCTACCAAGAAAGCCCATTTCCTGTGGACAAGATTTGTGGTGAAAATGAGACTGGCTGTGATGTAGGAGCAGTGTGGCAGGCTGGCGGGCAGATGTGTGAGCCACATGCTCCGCCCCGTCTCCCTGTGTCTGCTGTCAGTCCTGTCACCCTACAGAGCACCTGGCAGCCCCTGCTGCCCTGGCCCTGACCCCTTCAAATCAAAGGCCCTTTCTGCCTGCAGGCAAGAATGTGTGGAACAAGCTCAAGTCACAATGCTTGTGTGTTGACCTCAATCATCACATTGTAGGAGCAAGAGCCAAGAGTCAGAAGGTGTGCAGCCCAGACAAGACAGGGTCCAGGAGGCCACGGCAGAGGCCTCCAATCTTCTAAAGGGCTTAAATGTGTTCTGTTTGGCCCCAAAAGGTAAACTCGGGACCGAGAGATAGCTACAGGAAACAGATTTTGACTCACTGTAAAGAATGTTCTAAATCAGCCACAGTAATGCAAAGGATAAATGAGCTACTACTTCGTAAGGTAGCGAATCCTTGCCACTGAAAACATCACAGCAGAGATTGTCTGGAAGGGACTCAGGCACAGAAAGGACGACTAGACCACATGATGTTCAAGTCCCTTCTACCCTGGGAGCCATGGGATACCCACACATGCCCTGTACTCCTATAGCAACTTGTAGGACCCTGTCACAGGGAAATTACGCAGCAGCACCTTGTCTGTGAAGCAGCCTCAGTTTCCAGATATTTCCAACACATCTGGAGTCTGGCCTCTTGGGAGCTACTTGTGCATCTTTCAGAAGAATCTCTGGGTCATTTCAGGACCAAGGGAAACATTTGTAACCTATTGTAAACCAAACTGCATGGGACACGCTGCAGCTAATGTGACATAAGTTATACCATATGCAATGAGGGTGCTACCCAGGATGCAGTACGTGGCTACTCAGGCCACTCAAGGTGCCTGAAGTACCATGCTCACCCGAAGTGTACTCACCATTTCCTCTTGTACAGACCCCACTCGCCAGGCACCCATCAGCACCAAGGGAGCCCCTGGAAGGACTGAGCTGCTGGCCTTCAGAGCTCAACAAGGGTCCTTTCAGCAAAAGACATGCGTATCCTACAGAGGCCCTGTACCTTGTGTGGACAACTTTGCCTAAGACCACACTTTCCCAGATGCCTGCCCAGCTGCTCTCTGGTCTGCGAGCCCAGAAAGCAGTTCTAAGGAGTCTTGGGCTATTCAAAGGGTGGGAACCTTATCCTTTCCAAAATCAGCAGAAGGAGCGGTGAGAAGTCAAGAGCTCAGCCTCAAAATTATCAAAGTACAGGGAGGGCACACTCCGTAGTCTGAGACCTCCCTCATCTGCCCACCTGACAGCCAGTCTGATGAACGGGTGAGCTCAGAAAGGGAAGATCCTCAATGCTCAGAGCCAGTGGCCAACCTGGATCACAGCTCACTGCCTGAGTCCCCACTTCCACCCTAGGTCTGTCATCCTTCCCCAAGGAACGTAGTGAGTCAGAGGTTAGGTCACAAAAACCATAAATACACTCAGTTTAACTTTTTAAAAAGAAGAATAATAAATTGCTACTTTAAAACTTAAGATTTTTTTTTAAAGTTGCAAAATAACCAACTGCCCCAAAGCTGGCTTTTAAAGGGCAGGTGGGTGGGGTATCCTAGTCAGCTAGTCAGGGTCCCCCTGGAAGCCCTGGAAACCCCTGACGAGCAAAGGGCAGGAGATGGGAGCTATGTGCTAACTCTGACCACTGCCCCTCAAAGCAAAGTGGGCACAGGGTAGGGAGAGCTACCTCTGAGAGGGAGGGCAAGTCAACGTCGACTCAGGACCGTGTTCCTGGGGACTGAGAGTAGGACACAGGCCTTCAGGAAGCCAGGGGGAGCAGGGCAGAGCAGGGCTTGTGGGATTAACTCAAGCCAAGCTTCCAAGATGATTCACACAATAAGGCAACGGAGAGCACAGAGGTGGTTCCAACATACCCACACTCACAGGGAAAAAAGAGGCTGCACAGCACAGTGATTAGAGCATGACCCCCACACTCAGAGCACTGAATGAGGCCCACCCTGCCGACTACTGGCAGTGTGAACCCAAGCAAGTCACTTAGCCACCCTGCACCTTATTTCCCTCATTTGGATAATGGAGATGATGACATTAGTATACACCTCAGGCCGCTGGGAAGATTTGATGAGCTAATTCCTGCAAAGCACTATGTGCGGCGCCAAGCACACAGTGAGCACAGACAAGAAGCATCAGCTGTCATGGTCGTCACTGCAACGTCGAATGCCAGCTCCTAGGGGGCTGGTGGTGGCTCTGAGGGGAGCTGAAGCCTGTGGCTCAACCCACTGCCCAGGCTGTGCTGCCACGGCCTTGCCATGTAGATGCCTCAGGGAGGCTTCCATGAGAACAGTGCCAGGCACCCTGCTCGGAGCTACTATCTGGAATGACAGAGGGAGCACCAGATCCTAGGCCCAGACACCTGGTTTTCCTTTTCTTTTCTTTTGGCCCTTGTGTCTTGTGAGAGAAGCACAGACGTACACACTGGAAAAGCAACCAACCCTCCAGACCACCAGCTGTGCCTGTGCTCTGGGCCATCTCTGAGCCCATAGGTACATGAGGTTGTGTAGCCCTGGTTTCCACCCCAGATGCTGGGCCTTGGCAGGACAGGAGGCAAGAAGAAACCTCTGTGCTGGAGACAAGGCTCCCTGCTTCAGTGACAACTTACTTGACAGCAAAGTTTTGGGAAATAAAGGAAACTCCTGGTACCTAGCTTTGATGGGCTACACAGCCATGACTGGGAGCTTGGCCCTCCTGTCCACCAAAACTCCTGGTGTCTGGCTCAGCACAAGCTGGCCTCAATGCCTCATGGTATGAGGTCTGAGGAGACCATGGAGTGGGCAGAGATCTGAGTAAGGGACCCTTCTTCTTGGGATGCACACCAGCAAAGAGCTCTCCCTCTAGAACCGTTTCTGGGGCAGAGGCAGAAGGAGACAGAATCTGGAAAGAAGGCACACAACACCCGGCCAACTTCCCAGTGTCAGAGTGACCTTGGTTGGCTCTTCCCTGTGCTCTGGGTCTACGTACTGTTGCAAACTCCATTAGGGTCGGAGGGGAGGCCAGGGCGGCACGTTTCCACAGAGCAGGCGCAGCTGCTGAGGAGGCCTGTGGGCACTTACCAGGAAGCGGACATCGTCAAAGCCATTCAGAAGCAACTTGCTCTCATACTGCTGCAGCCCAATCGACTCCAGCCACTCCCCGACGCTCTGCTCCAGCGTCCGCGAACCTGACGAGAGAGGAATCGGCAGACGCTTGAAAAGGGAAAAACCATTAAGGCGGTAGCAGCGGCACTCAGAGGAAGACAGATGGCATTGCCACATCATAGTCATTACCATAAAACAGCCAAACTATATACAAGAGACCAGAGAGCAGCGGACACGCGGCTCCTCTTCTGTGCAGAGGCCAAGGACAGGACCGCCTGGTGCTGTCCACTCACCGCCTGGCCTTGGGCACTGATGCCCACTCACACCCCCTGGGTCTGAGCTGCTCCGGGACGTGGTGGCACATGCACGATCTCTGCCCACAGGCAGGGGGGAGCCAACCCCTGACAGTCTCCGGGTCAGCTCCTCATCAGTGTTCACACTGAAGTGTTTCAGCAAGTCTGTCCCCACAGGCACTAGAGGGGGCTGGGGGAGCTCCTAAGTGCCCACAAGCCCCGCCGCTCCTGTCATCCATGCAACTTCTGGAGCCTCCGTGGGACTGTGGCGAGGGGCAAGTTCTGTGACCTTGCAGCAAAAACTGCTCAGAAGAGAGCACACATCTTCATGCAGCTGAGGGACACAGGCACACAGCGAGGGCTCCGGGAGGGAAGCAGCGGTGGCTGTTCACAGGGACCCAGCACATGCAACACAAGCAGCACAGAACACGGCAGGGGGAGAAAAGAGACTTTTACTTGTTTTCCCCCAGCAGTCCCGGAATAAGCAAACCATGGCCACTGGCCCTTTGTGTTCAGAGGCTCAAGCCAGCAAGGAGCTGAGTAGGGCGCACGGGCCAGAGCTTGGGGGCCGGGCTCAGAGGTGGCTCTGCTGGGACGGCAGCATTGCATTCCGCCAGACTGCACGGCCAGCAGGCCAGGAGCCCAGTACACATCTAGACTCTGGCAGCCGGTGAGCAGGGCGTCTCCTGGGCCAGCACACCGTCTGAAGTGCTGCCTTCACGGGCCGGGCTGGTTTTTAGGGGCTGGGTGTTCATTTTCCTCCTCTGACAGTGGCCGTTCCTGTGACTCACTGCCTGCTCAGGTGGAACGCAGGCAGGCAAATTCAGTTCTCTGCTAATGACGAAATCCCACCAGATAAAAGAGAGAAAGGAAGTGGTCCTCTATCAGCTGAGCTGTGGCGGCTTAAGTCTATTCACGTTCTGCACTGTTCCCTCCTTGGCTGAGTGATAAAGACAGCAATGGTCTTCCCAGGGTCTCCGGATCCCAACGTTCTCTGCTGAGGATGCACGGGGAAGGGTGGATATTTATTTGCTATGCTCCTCGGTCAGGACAGGATGGTGGTGGTGCAGGGAGGATGAAAGTTCAGCCCTTCCTGGCAGGTCTTAGATGCTCTGAGCTGAATGCCTTAGCCCCCACCTTCTCCGGTTCTTGTGGGTAAGAACAGATCAAAGAAGGAAAAAAGAGAAAGGGTGGAAAAAGATGTGCAAGAAAGAAAAAAGAAAGACCAGCTATAAAAACATCACCTCCGATGAACTCTTGACACGGTGAAAGTCATTCTGCCATTTCCAGGGGCTTTCTGCCCCTCAGGGCAGGACAGTGCCAACTAGCTCGGTTACCTACAAGACCTGGTAACCAACCATGTCAGCCTCCATCCCGCTCCTCTGTCCTCTGCAGAACAGATGGTGGTCAGGGACCTGGGTGGCCTTCCAGATGCACGCTGCAGCAGCACTCCAAGATGCCGAGTCCAGGGGACACTTGAGCGTCCCAGCCCTTGGATGGGGAAATCTGTTCCAGGAACCTAAGCGACAGGCTCTTGTGTGCCCATGAAGCCAAGTGTCCCCGGCTGCTGATTCATTCCTGCTTGTAATCCCCCAGGCTGCTGCCCGTGGATGTGTGCGCTTCCAGAGCCGCAGCAGAATGCTTTGTCTGAAGGCTCCTGGGCTCCAAGCTGCCTGCTGCCGGCTCCACAGTCCTTGCTCTCTCTCATAATGTCTGGCCCTCCCCTTCCTCCCCTCCCTACCCTCCCCCCTTCCATGCTCAGGAAAATACATCAGGGATCGGACATCACATCAGAACAGAAGCTGCTGCTGCTGTTGCTGCCGAGGGAGAAGGAGACAGTAGCACTGGCACCCGAGCACAATGACAGATTTCCCAGAATCTGATGTTGGCTGAGACAAATGCATCTGAAAGGTGGAGATGCAAAACTTCACCTCCAACTCAAGGGACTGGAAACAGCTTATCAGGAAGAATAGTGAGGGAACACTCCTAGAGCTTTGGCTGACAGTTTCTAGGACAGCCAGGAGAGGAGACATAGGAATGACACTGCCCAGAGGGCACAGCCCACAGGTAAGTGACTACTCACTTGCTACTTCAGGAATGACTGTGCTTTCATCACAGAAACAGTCAATGAAATAAGGCCTTGCACCTTTTGTTCCTTAGGTGAGTATGCCAAACAACCTGGGGACAGACTTCTCTTTGGACCTGTTAGAACCCAGGGGAGAGGCACCATACGACTTATAATCTGGAGGAGGTAAGCATGGGAGGGGAATGGCCAAGGACAAGAGGAGACCAGATGCCAGACCAGATCCCAGCTGCAGAGGAACAAAAAAGGTAACACATGTACAGAGACAAAAATTTGGGAACCACAAGTATACTCTAAATATGCTGAGAGATACCAGTACCCCAATAGGCTGTACTTGGGTACTGGCAAAGAAAGGGCTCTGTGTACAGAGAGATCAGGCCCCAAAAGAATCCTGCATTTAACAGCTACTCAACACCTAAAATGGCTGGCTTCAGCAGAAGAAAATCAAGTAAGTTCTCTTCTGTTTGACAGTGCAGGCCTTTGTTGAAAGCCAGAGTGGCCTGGGCCAGCGGGAAGGCTTACCCTTCTGGCCTCCCTAGAGTGGGAACTGGCAGAGGGATAAGTAAGTTGAAAAACACATGTCAGGGATTCAGGGAACTAGCTCCAGTGGTTGCAGCCCAGGGTCCCATGCCCCCCAAACAGGGCTGACTCCAACGCTGTGGTCTTGCCCTTTGGGGGGTGGGGGACCCTCTGCAAAGCTAGCTGTGCTGAGCAATGTCATACGAGGTGCAGGACCACCTGCTGAAGGGTGTGCTTCTCCTCCACACAGGCTGCAAACCCCAGAGCCCAGGTCTTTTCCACCTGTCCTGAAACCCAAGGACAACCTAGACTGTGAAACTGACCAGTCAAAATAAATAGCGAGTGGTCTGCGCTAAAGATGGAACTCCCTGAGGTCCTGGGGAAAGCCCCCTCCTGGCCCATCGGGGTTCATACAGGCCTCAGTCCATCCCCTCCATGCTGCATGGTCTGGCGGTTGTGTAGACACAGCAGGCTGGGGCTCAGCAGCATGGGAGATGAGCCTTCTGTTTAGGTGGACACCTGCATGTGCCTGTTCCTGCCCTAAGCTGGGGTATGGAGGATGGTTCAACAAATGAGTGTAAAGAGCAGGCGACTGGGACCAGAATGGTAAGGAAAGAGCTAGTGTTAATACCTCCAGAGAGATGGGTCTTCCCGAGGTGCTGCCACATCTCCTGATTGATCCTACTCAAGAGGCAACAGCCTGCTTCTGACTCAAAGTTCTCAAGCGTATGCATGATTTGGACTCCCACTAGTTGGACTTAGAGGGGTAAAGAAAAGCAGAAAGCCACCTCAACTGAACTGACTGTCCTCAGAGCACAGCTTTGAAAATGGCAACAGTATTTATTTATCTCAGTCCAGAACATCTATTCTCTCAAAACACTCAAGCCTTGGAACAGCCTGTAAACTAGAACAGAGTGCAAGATTGCTTGACTGAGTGTAAACAGCTGCTTGGAAACATATCTATATACTCTCGGCCAGAAGACGCACCTCTGCAGACTCCAGCATAGTTCAAGACTGACAAAGACGGACCAAGCCCAGTTTAGCTATCTCTGCTAGAATCCAGGGACATGTATGCTGGAGGGTCAATGGCTCCAGGAACTGAGACTAAAAACTGGTGAAGGGAGATGAGATGGGGGAACAGAAGCCCCTGTTCTCTAGGTTTCTCAGTATGAATAAGTAGAGAGTCCTCAGGTAAAAACAAGCATAGCCACTATTTACTGAGTACCTCTTTAGCTCAAGTATTTGTATATATGACTCATTAAAAAAAAAACTACTTTTTTTTTTGTTTTTTTGAGTTGGAGTCTCACTCCATCGTTAAGGCTGGAATGCAGTGGCACACTCACGGCCACCCCAGCATTGACCTGCTGGGCTTTGGCGATCCTTCCACTTCAGCCTTCCAAGTAGCCGGAACTACAGGCGCATGCTACCACGCCTGGCTAATTTTCAATTTATTGCAGAGACGAGGTCTCGCCAATTTTCACAGGCTGGCCTTGAACCCGCAGGCTCAGGTAATCTACTCGCCTTGGCCTCCCAAAGTGCTGGGATTACAGGTTGAGCCACTGAGCCCGGCCGAGGCTGGAACTAAATCCAAAGGATGTAGCTAAGCAACTGAGGACATAAAGACATTAACTGACTTGCCAAGACACATGTGTATCTAGCCAAAATTTGAACCTGGGGCCGTGAGGCTCCAGAGCCCAGGCTCTCCCTGCCAAGCTCCATGGCCTCAACAGCTCCCTTCTCTCTGATGTGCACACTCCAGTCCACCCAACAGACTTCGGGCCACAGGAACCCATGGAGGAACTAGAGGTGCCACCTGGGCTGCCAGGTCAATCCTGGGTGGAGCCCCCCGAGTGAGTAAGGAATTGTACCTCTTCAGTGCAGGCAAACATCTCCATCAATTGAGGAGAGACCAGGCTCCCTGTTGGGTGGTTTTGAACCCGGGCGCTCTGGTGCCAGGACTATTGTTGGGGGCTTGGGGCAGGGGGTGTGAGCACTGTTCTGAGTGGCACCTTTAAGAAAATCTCACCTGAGAAAGTAACACAGCACAATCCTATTATCAGGGAAAACAGCTCAGACGGCCTCCCTGTTCCCTGTTTCAAACAAAGGAAACAGAGGCAGACCTCACGCCAAGGGCTGAGAAATGAAAAGAATGACCAAAGAGTCAAAATGGTAAGCAACTAAGTAAACTGAGAAACAGAAACAGACACAAGCAGGAAACAGCACAGTCACCCCCCAGCTGATTTGGATGTATGCTGTAAGTTTGAGACCTGGCCTAGCTCAGTGCTCTGCCATCACCATGGATTAGGCAAATGAGAGCCTTGTTCTCGCAAGAGTTAGAGCCAGAACCACCTCAGAGGCTGGGAGACTGACATTGAGATGTACTCCAATTTAAGCAATCTGAGAAAGCCTACATTTATAAAAATAACGAATAAGTGACAAGAATTCTCTCTCATTTTTAGGAATTTAGGCAGCCTATAATTCAATTAGTACACTTACCCCTTCAATATATAAAGGGAATCACAGTCCTAAAAATAACAGTGAGATGGGCTGCCTAGATTCAGACTCGGAATAGTAAGAGCATGGTGTGGCCCGGGGCTGACCTCTCTCACCCCTCAAAGTCTATCTTCTGTGTCAGAGGAAAACCCTGAGCCAGAGTGCCATGTTCTGTGGGCAGAATGGCTGCTTGGTACAGTACCTGAGATCTTCTGCTGTTCCTGAGAAAAGTCAATTCCTTCTCCAATAGAACTCATGATTTTCTCAATCTGAAACAGAAGAAAGGAGAGGCAGTCAGGCTTGGGGTAAACGTATCCAGCTCACCACCAGTGCCACTGGGGGTCCTCCAGGTCTCGTGCAGATGATTGCCAGTCCCAACCTGAAAAGTAGCAGAACTCTCTGCTGCTCATGGAGAAAAGTCCTTCTCTGGCCCCAGCCCAGCAGGGTCTGAAAGGACTCTGAGGGAGTGAGAAGGTGACAGTCTGAGCTTAGCTGCTAGAAACGCCAAGAGCCTCCCTTTCAAGGCATTTCTGCATTACTCCCTCAGCAGTTCTCCCAGATCAGCAGAGACTGGGGAGAGGTTGCAACAGCAGGCCGGACTTGGCCTATTATACGGCTCATGCTAGAATTTAAATTCATGAGAGCAGACACTGCCAGTTTGGTCCCATGCTATATCCCAAGTGCCTACAGTGGTGCCTGGCAAATCATAAGCATTCCACAGATAATTGGTACCGCATGACCACCAGCCCTGAGGTGTGAAGACAATGTCTAGGGCGCCTGCACACAGGAACCTCTTGGAAGACAAGGTGAGGTAGACACAGAGGCCTGAACGGAAGGCCTTCTGCCTCCTGGAGTCTAGCATTCCTGGACAGAGCTCTGCATTCAGGGCGCAAGAAGGGACACCCTCCCCCTCCCAACCTCACCCCGACCTCAGCAGAAAGAGCAAGTCTCAAAGCCTGAGAATATCTCCACCACTGCCTCCTGTATGGACCACCTGTCCCAGCCACCTGGCTTTGGTCACTTGGGGCCACACCCAAGCCCCCCACCTCAGGAAACCTGGCCAGGGGCAGAGTGAGGAGGAGCCAACTTCTCTTCCTCCCCTCCTCCTCCTCCATTTTGGGCTGCAGTGATAATGAGCTCATTCACTGCTCTTTTTCCAATGAAATGAAAATAGGACCTTTTGTACCAGGGCTTGGATGCCTTTTCCTCTAAGTGCAAGTAAGGAGCCTAGGTCTGACAATTAGAAAAACAACAATTCTCCAGCCAGCCTCCAGCTGGCAGACAAAGCTGAGCCTCTGACACCCAGCAGAAGAGCATAGAGCAAGCCCCACCTCTCTGGTGGCAGCCAGGAGCTCGGGGAGTTACTTTCCTCCAGCCACAGAGATGATCACCTGACTGCCTGTTACTGCAGACTATGAACTCCTTCCCTGAGCTCAGCAGAGGGAAGCAAAACAAACCTGACACGTGGAGCAAACTGAGGGTGGTCTCTACTCACTGGCCCCAGCAGCCTGGAGGCAGGCATCAGAAGCAGGGGGAAGGGCACAGTCCCAGAGCAGGTCTGCTCTGTCCCTGGGAGAAAATGCCTCCCCTCCCACCACCGCTTTCTTAGACCCTGCCCACTTCACTTGCTGCCTCCTTGGCAAGGGCAGCATGATACAGCAAGGGACTCGGCCTAGACAGACGGGCGAGTACCCTCACCCTCCTAAATTCTGTTTTAAACATAGGGTTTATGTGGATTAGAAGATATCATGCACATAAAGCATCCAGCTGAAGGTTTGGCTCTCAGCAGATGTTCAAGAAAAGATTAGTTTGTCATCCACTTCCCGTCTTGTCCTCTGGGTGCTCCAGCCTAGTAAGACCTATTTTTAAAGTTTTAAAAATGATTTTACTTACACCTATTTTTTGAAAAGTAATACATTCATATGATTCAAAATTCAAAAGATACAAAAGGCTATTCAGAGAATAGCGTCTCCCTTATCCATCTCCCAGTTGCCTTAACTAGTGTAACCAGTTCCTTGTGTATTCTTCTAGAGCATTCTATTCACATGCAGTGGGAGAATCACCACTGTAAGCACCATGAGGGCTGGAATCAAGCATATTTTAGTTGTTTTTTCAGTCTCTGGGCATGGCTCATGGTAAACAGATAACTTATTGAATTAATCAATAAATGAATGAACATGTAGTTTCCATTTGTTTGGAGCCAGCAATGAAAAAGTTGTTCTTCAAGGCCACGCAGAATGCCAAGGGTGGAAATGGCTGAGATGGAGGGGTGACTCCAAGGTATCCTCTGAAATAGTCATCATCGTCACTTAACATCCAACACCCCAGCTTGGTTATCCAATGACCATCCCCTGGTGGTACAATTTGTGGGATTTTGCCAAAGGGCCTTTTGAAATCAGAGTGAACAGAGTCCAACACCCTTGCTGCTTCTCTGCTCTGCTTCCTCCTGCTTGGCCCAGCAGTCACCTTTCGGTCAGCAACAGGCCAGCAGAAGTCCAGTTTCCATGGGTGGTATGTGAGGCGCCCTGACTGCAGATCAGCTAATGGACACTCAAAACGATTTCACCCAAACTAGGAAGCATATTTTATTGTGCTGTGAACTGCCGTAGCTAAGTCTAGCTGAGATGATGTTAGTGTGTAGAGGACCTCAGAATACTTGGCAGTTTGTTGACAGCTTGTGACCCAGAACCCCTTCCTTCGCCTTGGTGGAAGCTCAGGGCAGGAGGCCTGTGACAACAGTGAGGAGGTCCTCGCCCTGGCACCAAAGCAGAGCTTTCGCGGGCTGTGGTCCTGCCTGAGCCTAAGTCTGGGCTGTGGAGGCAGGGAGAAGTTGGAGCTCATCTTCTCTCCTTGCCTCACCCTCATGGCCCAGAACCAGCAGAGAGGAAATATGATCATTTAGTCTAGACAAAGAGGAGCATTCAGACACAGTGGATATCATTCCGATCTACACACTTAGTGCAGTTTAACCATTTAGGCTTGAGTTAAAAAACAATAGGACCAGGCTGCTTTCCCAGAAATGCTGTGCATTTCAGGGAAAGAGGCAGGTGGGATGTAACGGAAGGATGCAGTTTAGCAGTCTCTTCTTTTACTATGTTGTTTAGGATAAGTGACATTTTTGGAGAGAGATGGGGGATGGCTGTGCTCTAATACTGTACTCTGCATGAACTGATAGAGAACTTATCTTTGTGTTTGTTAAGGTAAGAACTTGAAACTTATCACCACAATGGATTCTTATATTCAAAAAATGCTTGGGAATGTCCCATTTTCAGAGCGTATTCAGGATGATTCTATTTAGACTTTTTTCCCTACCAGGGCTGTATAAAACATATTCCCCATATGGCTGAAAACAAGAACACAACAAACACTAGACATACTGCTGCTCAGGCCATCTGACATCTGCTTGTTGAGGCCACAGGATCCCAGTTGCCCATGGGGGATGACGGGAGGTGGGGCTCTGTGTGTGGAGGGGCCTCCACCCCAACGCCAGGCTGCTGAGCCACACAGATATCACCAGACTCTTCAATGAGTACTGGGAGTTGGGGGAGGGGAAAGAAAAACTTCCCCAAGTTTTGATGGGTCTTCTTTGTGCCAGAAAGTATGCAAGGCACAGGCAGTCCTTAGGAGGACCGCAAGGTTTGGTGCGACTTGGCTCCAAGGCCCGTGGGAAACCTTCCTTCCAGGAGGCGGTATGAGTTAAAAGCAATGGCTATGTTCAAGGCTCCCATTCAGGGTCAAATAGCAGAACAGCAGGAATCAGTCCGGTTAACATGTCTAGAAGCTGGAGCCCCATGTAGAGGAGGACGGAAAAGGAATTGCCTTCCTCCAACTCTCCTTTGGTGTGAATGTGAATTTGAGGGGCGATGCTTTTGCAATTTACCAGCTACTGAGTTGGCTCCTGACATCAGACAGTGCCCTAGGACTCCCCCATCAGTTGGAAAACACACGCCAGTCTCCTTGGGCCTGTCCCACAGAGCCAAAGACACCTCTCTTCCTCCATCTCTGAAGCCTAGTACCTTAGTGGCCCAGAAAAACACTCTGCTTTGCTCTGTCACTTCCCTGGATTAAATGCTCCATGATGTGTCCCAGAGAAATACAGAACCATTAAGGGAAAGGATCCTGCTTTCACGTTGTTTGTTTTTGTTTTTGAGTTGAGTCTCGCTTTGTAGCCCAAGCTGGAGTGCAGCGGCACGCACGCTCACGGCCACCCCAGCGTCGACTTGCTGGGCTCAGGGCGATCCTTCCACCTCGGCCTTCCAAGTAGCTGGAACTATAGGTGCACACAACCACTCCAGGCAAATTAATTAATTAATTTATTTTTTGAATTGGAGTCTCACTCTGTCACCCAGACTGGAGTGCAGTGGCCGCTCCCGGCCACTGCAGCCTCGACCTGCTGGGCTCCGGCGATCCTTCTGTCTCAGCCTTCCGAGTAGCTGGAATTACAAGTGCGCGCTACCACGCCCGGCTAATTTTTTTTTTTAATTTATTGTAGAGATGAGGTCTCGCTGCCCAGGCGGGTCTCGAACCCACGGGCTCAGGCAATCCACTCACCTCAGCCTCCCAAAGGCGCGGGATTACAGGCTGAGCCACCAAGCCCAGCTAAATTTTTTTATTTCAAAGTGAGACTCCAACTCAAAAACAAAAACAAACAACGTGAAAGCAGGACCCTTTCCCTCAATGAGGTCTCGCCAAGTTGCCCAGGCTGGTCTTGAACCCGTGGGCTCAGACAATCCCCTTACCTCGGCCTCCCAAAGTGCTGAGATTATAGGCTTGAGCCATGGCGCCTGGCCTACGCTGTGTTTTTTTAGATCCTGCCCTGTGTCTTGCCCAGAGCTGCCACACTGGACGTGTTTGGTGACAGTCACTGCTACCGTTTGTTAAATGCCCATGCAGGGTTAGTCATGAATACACTAGTCACTCTTACAACAGAGTAAGATGGAAAGGCAGTCAACACCCTTACCTCTGGACCAGTATGGATTCTCTCACTCCCCTTTCGTCCTGATTATTTTCGTCTTTCTCCCACCTCCCTGGGTTGCTGGTACAGGGCTGCTGCTCTCCAAGCACCTCCCACTCCATAACTACCAGCTGGCAATCATCCTGCAGAGCCTGGACTCACAGTCAAGTAAACATATTATCCTCTCTTCCAGGTGAGGAAACTGAAGCTGTCCCCCACAGTCACTCCCAAACTGCCCATGGATGGCGTTGCTTCACTTTTGCAAGGTGCCATCGGCACTCAAATCTGCTTCCTGCTGCAGAGGGACTGAGTGGC